GCTGGTTTCTCATGGATTCTGGTTTAAATGTTGGTGCATTCAGTGAAGCTAGGAAGTCAAAGAACAGACCAGATTCTAAGAAAGTGTTGAGCAACCTCATATACAACTACAAGCCTACTTACTGTGGATACGCAGGGTAAAGGCTACTCGGACTCGTCTTTACGCAATTTCTCTTCTTGTCTTTGGTTTGTTTTTTTATGTTTATAACGATTCTTTGGATCATACATGTTTTGCAGGAGGGGTTACGATGAGGTTTACATTTTCACACAACCAAGATCCCGTTTCTAACAACATCATCATCCTCGTCCAGTGTTTGTTCAAGTGTACTCTACTAATTGATTTGTAATCTCAACTTTTGTAACTTGTGATCTCCATATAAGAAGCCTTGTTTATCAAAATCCAATTATGAAGTTACGAACACAACTCTTTGAGCCGTTGATGATGTTCTTATCAACGGCTCAGATCATAAGAACTTTGTGCTTATATTCAGGTCGAATGTGTGTACTGTATTCGTTAGCTAGATACAATCTCTCTTGTCATGTAGTAATAATACAAGCCAAATAATTAAGGTATGCGTCACTTGTCATATGTTTGATTTGTAATCTCAACTTTTGTAACTTGTGATCTCAAATTCCATAAATATATGAAGCTCAATTTGAAATAAATTAAAAACCTTTTTCAACCGTTGATCTTGATGATATCTCTTAGTAACGGCTCAGACCCAACAATGTCGCTGCAACAATTGAAGAATGGGCCCCACTCTGACAGGTAGGTTACGAACTTTGACAGTGATATGCAATCATAACAGTGTATAAATCCAAAATCAAGATCTAACATGCATAACACGTTTCTTGTTTTGTCACGCGCGGAGTGGATCAGAGGAAAAAAAAATACAAATTTGATTTATTGTTGCCGGATATCCAAAATTTTTCGAAATAAAGAAAAATACAGTATATGTGATTCGATTTGTTTTTGCTGGATATATAATTTTCCGATTTTTTTGCTTTGAAAAATTTCGGATATCCGAAATAGCGGATATTCGGATTTTTTCCAGATATTTGCGGATATCCGGATATTCATTTTAAACCAGAAATAATAACTAAAACCCTATAATTTTCTTTTAAGGAATACTTTTAATATAATATTTTGACTAACTAATGAATGCGAGCAAAAAAAAAAGGAATAAATATATAAAATTATCTAATTTTATTCGATATAATT